ATAAAATATAGAACATACAATGACTTGTTTGGGACCTAAAAGAATGCCAGAACAAAAGACTGTTACCCCTTATTATTTATGGGATGAATACACTCGATTTATTGCCGATATATAAATCTAAGATTATTAAAAAAAATAAAATTATTTAAGGTCTTGTACCAAATATTAACCAAGATTTTACTTAAATAAATTTGGATATTTTAAAATTTAGATATTGTTAGATTAGGAAATAAAATCATTTCCTTTAAATTTACTTCTTTGAACCAAATGGTTGTATCCCTTTGTATTATTAGTTGATTAAAAAGACGTGTCGATTCAGAAGACATCGACTAGATTTTGTAAATAGGTATGTTGGAATTATTTTAAAATTATATTCAGTTGGAAATATCAACCCACAAGAATAGTTACCCGGTTGGTATGAATTAAGGATTTAATTACTCTACATCCTCAAAAAAAAAAAAAAAATTATTTGGTTATCATCCGGTTTAAATTTTTCAACAAATGGTATCCATAATTAATTTAGAGATCTTAATAAATCACACATAAGTAATCACCTACAATAGCTTACATAGGATTTGTAGAAGAAAGATTTGAACATTTATGATAACATAATAGAATACTCACCACCGAAACTTGATTATAGACCCATTGACTCACACACATATACACATACAAAATTATTGCAGAAATTAGAAAATCAAGAAAAGCAAAAAATCACACAAAAACAAATTTGTTGATTTACTTCTATCAAAATGATCTACATATGGGGATGGTCAAGCCTGATATTTTCACTAGTAATTTCGAAGTGTATAAGAAAAAAAAAATGCATCAAACATATATAGAAGTATATGTCAAAACCTTAGCACATGCCCCAATAAATTGTACAGACGGCCAAATATAAAGAAGTGAAGGTCAAAACCCTAGTTCCACCGGAGCTCGAGGGTCTTGATGTATAGTGTTAAATGGAACAATCCCTTTATTTCCACTTTTGGCATGTGGACAAATGACTTTTTGCACAGCCGCTGTCGTCAGACACCAAAAACAACAAGTTACTTTTTACTGTTGCAGACAAAATCAGACTGCTTACATACGGCAGGCAGACTCTCACCTGCAACAACTTTTTATTTGTTTTGTTTTATCCATTTTATCTCATATGTGCATATATCCATACAAGACAATTTGATAGAATGGAGAGAGTCCAAGGAATGTCAGATTTGTTTTGAGAACCGCCCCATTCCATTTATGTGCTAAGAGAATTAATTGTTGTTTAATTTACAGTCAAATAAAACTGTTGTATACACAGCATGGGACAACCTCAGTTTAGTGAGAGAACACATTTGAAAATTTATCCTTGAGAGAGAAATTATTGTAGAAGCTCTCATTCGAATCCCTCATCATCTCCATGATTTTCACATGTGTTTGATACACAAAACTCACTATAGGAGTTGCCGGAGGAAGGAGTTCTCGGAGACCCAAAGGAGATGACAACCAGCTTGTTGGCTACATTACTTTAGGCTTGTTGTATATATTGGTGTCGGTACACGTTTGTGACTTCCAGTACCTGTGCATTGAATGCAAGGTAAGCTGACCTGTTGCGCGGTCAATCAAATATTTCACCTACTCCGAGATCACAATTTAATGTAATATAGGGGAAGGGATCGTCTCCACAGGGATTGTGTGATTCACTCTTCCGTATTCTAATGCAGTAAATAAATGAGGATTTTTCTTTTATTATCTAATTAAAATAAAATAACAAAGCAATTAAATTAAAGGGGAACTGACTATCAAGGGGATGTCTGGCTCAAGGGATGATGCAGTTATGACACTTGTGTTCTATCATTAATTCAATTAAATTAATTCTTATTAAAGTATCAATAAATTGGTTATAGTTATCAACAAGCTCTGACAACCAATTTTTCCTTACAGTGTAGGTAATTAAGGTACGACCGTTAACTACCCCTAATTAAGCAAATAAACCTAGGTGTGCCCATAAGAATATTGCCTAACCGCATTCCAATCTAGAAAAACCCAATTCAAAACAATTACTAGCTAAGAGAAGCAATTAGATTTGATTGTCTAACCCCTGAGAAGGAACTATTCAACCCGGTTGTCACATATTCAAGTGCGAATATAATTACGGATATCCTACTTGAATTGACTTTAGATTATCAGACTAATTTAAATATCGGTACCAAAATATTCAATCAATCTAACAATCACAAACGCTATTCTCATAATTAGACAAATATTGATAATAAAAAAGAACTTTTATAAAGAAAATCAAAAATCTCCAAAACAAAAGAACCAAAACATTATCACCCCTCAAACCAGAAAAGTATCTACTCCATAATTAAATAACAAAGAACAAAAGAGAAAGATAAAGTCATAGTGGGAGGGGGAAATCTTCTCTGTCGATTTGCTCCTGCGCGATCTATGAATCTGTCAGTCTCCTGCTCCTGTGCGTTTCTGCCCTAGCCGTCCTCTCTTTTTGAAACGTGTGATCCCTCCTTTTATTTAATGTTTGCCCTAATTATTTTGTAGATGGGCTTTTGGGCCTTTAATTAATTTTATTTCATTTTTCTGCCAATTATGCCAAATTTAATATTTGCCCTCTGCACACAGCAAATAAACAATTCGCATATAAATTAGGTAGAATCCAATCAAAATCACCAAATTATCGCATATGATATGAATATAAAACGCATGCGATTTCTAACTATCAATTCTCCCCACACCTAGATCATGCTTGCCCTCAAGCATAAATTCGAAATAAGCCAAAGAAATCGCAGGCAACTCGATATGACAAGAGGATCCAACACAACCAATTCAATCCGACTTTTAACACATCAAGCCAAGTCAACCTCACAAGATTAAGTGTTTTCTCACATGCTCTCTGAAGGAATTAAATGTATAATTGGCTCAACACTCAGGTAGTGCAACAAAAGATTATCCTATAGGCTTGAGTAAAAATCAAATCTCCCTTACTTAAAATATTCGAATCTAGCATAAAGAATCAAAGGGACTTTCAATAAGGGTTGTAACGGGGCTTATGGTCGGGGTAGGAAAAAGGATATATAAGGGCTAAAATATGTCAGAAAAGAACACAATAAGAACACGATGCTAGCACATGAAGAACAAATCGGCATAAACAATCAAATTCTTACTCTATTCACCACCCAAACTTTGATAATGAAAATACTTTATTAAGATAATTATTTAATTATTTATTTTTGTATTATTATTATTATTATTATTTTTTGTTTCTTTTTTTTTTCGTTTTTTTTATTTTTTATTTTTTATTTTTTTCTTTTTTTTTTCTTTTTTTTTTTGGCTTTTGGCTTTATATATATATATATATATGTATACTATACTACCCAAAGTTATTCCTTCAAACTATAACTTATTCGTACCCAAAGTTCGTTTCTAACTAGTGCCGAAGAAATAAAGTGCATCACAACATGGACTTAAAGTAATTCTTTCTAACATAGGGTTCAAATCGGAGAAGGCTTAATCAAAAGAAGGGTATAAGGCTAAAAGACAGGTTATTATAAAAGAAAAAATAGGCTAATAAGGCTTAAATGGGCTAACTAGGGGAATATATTGTGCTGGGTAATAAAGAAAGGCTTAATGGGTTACCTAATGCCCTTATCATTTTCAAAACGCAAGACCCGATAGTTGCAAGTTCAACATGCATAATCACTCAAGTTCTAGGTCATCTAATTGAGCACTACAAATCGCACATGAAAGAAATTTCCAAAAGCTTGAATATATGCAATTTATTTTCTAATGTAACTTTGGAACATAGGCTCAAATTCTCACAGGGTTCAAACGTCGACTTGACTCAACATATCATCAATCAAATCTCATTAGTCATGCCAAACTAACCTATCACACAAATCACCTTTGACTCACTTCAGACTAATCTAAAAAACATGCGAAAAGACAGCAAATCAGGCATAAAAATAGCACAAAAATCTCCCCCCACCTAAAGTATGCATTTTCCTCAATGTAAAGAAAGCAATAAAAGAAGAGAGGAACTTCCCTGGAGTCCATAGGGGGTGTAGTAGTTGGGAGCTTTGTTAACACTTCTTCATTTGATCGTGATTTTTAGGGAGGCTTGAAGTTCTCCTGAGTCCTACGAAAACAACTAACCAACACAAGCCATTTAGAGGAACGGATGTGGTGATCGGTGATGACTGAGTAGGGAAGGAAGAAGTCGACGGCGCCGGATGTTGGAGGTGGCGACTAAACCAAACAAAACTATCAAAAGTGTTATTAGCAATTAAATAATAAAAATAAATAAAATTAAAGAAAGCAATTAAATGATTTTGGGTTGTCTCCCAAAAAGCGCTTTTCATTATAGTCTTTGAGCTAGACTTCGCATCGCATCAATTCTGAACATCGAAATTGGCAACGGGTGCCAACTTTATAGGATCAAGTGAGGGTCCCTCATGGTATAATTTGAAGCGATGTCTATTGGCCACACACTTTTTCTTCGGCTTAGAATTTTGATTCTCCTTATGATATTTTTTTGCTGCCAGCAATGGTGATCCCTTGGGAATCCATCTCCACTTTTCGACAATCTTTTTTCTTTTCTTACTCTCTCCAGTTTGTCTTTTCTCTAACTGTTTTGTCAACAAAGTTCTTCGTTTATTCTTATTACCAACCTCACAAGTTTCTTGTACCACATAATTAATAACATTAATTGCATATAACGATTCAGATTCAACAGGACATTTGATGGGATTAAAAATATTGAAATGAAATTCTTCTCCATCAAACTCCAAGCTGAGTGTGCCCTTTTTAACATCTATCTTTGTTCCTGCAGTGCACATAAAAGGTCTTCCTAACAAAAGAGGCGGTGGATTAGAGCAGTGCGCATCATGCATATCCAAAATATAAAAATCAACAGGAAAAATCAATTCATTCACTTGAACTAATACATCTTCTATCATACCATCGGGATAAGCATGGGTTCGATCAACAAGTTGAATAATAATTCATGTTTCTTTTAAAGGCCCTAGATTTAAAGAGTCGTATATTGATCGAGGCATGACATTAATAGCAGCTCCTAGATCTAGCATAGCCTTAGTTATCTCAGTTTTTCCAATCTTACAAGGGATAGAAAACATACCTGGATCACCTGTTTTAGGTGGTACCTTTCTTTTGATAACAGCAGAAACGTTCTCACCCGCTATAATATGCTCGTCCCCTCGCAATTTTCTTTTGTTGGTGCATAGTTCTTTCAAAAACTTTGCGTACTTGGGGATTTGGTTGATAGCTTCCAAGAGCGGGATATTAAGTTCCACCTTCTTGAATATTTCCATCATCTCTTTTCGTTTGTTTGCCTTTTGTGGTTTCTTCAACCTGTCAGGAAAAGGAGCTGATTTAGTTTCAGTAGGAGGAACAGAGTCAGGAAGTACTTTTTCGTGAAGTTCAGCTTCTTTTTCGATCTCCATCTCAATCTGATCCTCATTCTGTTCCTTTGAGATAAGAGGTGGACCTTCCAATTCCTTTCCGCTACGAAGAGTTATAGCACTCGTATTCTTTGGATTAGGCCGGGAAGAACATTCAATCTTCGTATCACTGCAGATAGTGATGGCGCTGACATTTGCTGGATTTGGCTCAGGCTGAGCAGGCCACTTTCCTCTTTCACGTAGCTGTCTCACCTCCTCTGACACTTCATTGATCTGACCTTGTAATTTGGCGACAGTTGACTTCATCTCTTGCTGGAATTGCAGGGTACTGGTAGCCATAGACTTCACCAAGTCTTCCAAAGATGGACTGGAGTTGCTTATGGGTCCTTGGGGCGGCTGTTTCTCATAGAAACGAGGTTGTTGCATCTGCTGCATAGCTCCAAATGGTTGATGAGCATTACCCTGCTGTGCGTTTCCATAACGCAAGTTCGGATGATCTCTCCAGCCTGGATTGTAGGTGTTGGAGTATGGATTGTACGCTGGAGGTCTATTCATACCGTAGTTTGCAGTGTTCACATCCACTGCACATTCTTCTTGGAGGGTCGGACATGCATCTGTAGGGTGTCCTGCACTCGTGCATATTCCACACACCTTGACCTAGACACTCGGGTTGGATTTTTCCACGACCATCTTGCGAACGAAGCTCGTCAACTCAGAAAGTTGTTGCTGTATCGATTGGATGGTATGGTCGTTATTGTTTCCGCTCATCTGTCCAACATCCCTTGAACCAAATTGCTGCGTGTTTTCAGCCATCCTCGCAATAAGATCCCAAGCTTGTGCCGGCGTCTTATTTACTAGAGCTCCACCACTTGCAGCGTCGATGAATGACGAAATACACGATTTTTTAAAATTAATTATTTTCAATTGAACTAATTATGACAACTATTTTATTTTATTTTTTTTATGACAACTATTTTATTGAATAATAGAATCATGCACTTAAAAATGTTTTATGGTATTTTAATTTTTTTATTTGATTAACATTTTTTTTTCGTATTGGGGTTTCGAGTATTAATTAAAATAATAGTTTGATATATTATTTTATAGGACTATAAAATATTTTTATTGAAAAATATGAAGCGAAAACTAGACAAAATCACAAAAAAACACATATTTAATATATAAAGAGTTAAAAAGAATATTATAATTAAATAGTTTTCTTGTAATAATCAATATGATGCTAACTTAGATAAAACTATTCCATAATTAAAATTTCTGCTAATTATTCTATTGAAGTTGTCATTTGCATTTTTTAGTTTATTAAAGTTACGGATTATAATTAAATGTTTCAATTGATTATTGTATATTACCTCTCGTCATTTATTTTTTTTTATTCAAATTTATTCTTATTTCCCTTTTTAGTAAAAAAAAATTACTATTTTTTCTATTTTTTTACCATAATTTTTTTTTTACCATAAATGTTTTTTTCGCTTTTTATTTATTTTTTTTTAAATTCGTACCCGGTCAAATGAACATAAATTTACATGACGGACGATGGCATATTCATTGTGCCTGCATATGTTGAAATATGTTTTTTGAAATTAAAATATATAAATAGAACAAAAACCAAAAAACACCCCCAACTCTAACTCGAATAACATTTCAACCATAAAGCAACGCTCGTGAATTTATTTTATTACACTAAACATCGATCACTCGTATTCATGTTTAAATATTTGTACTTGACCCTTTGATCTCGCATCAGTTGTGATTTGTGATCTGTATTTGCTGAGAACGCGGCGGTTTGATACCGCACTTCTTGTAACAGTCGGTAATGCAGCCGGGGTTGACGATCGGACCGGGATAAATGCTACATCCTTGGATACATTCATCAAAACAATATGCTCGGGAGCAATCCGGTGACATAATTAAAATAGCCAATATGAATATTATAACCATCGGTTTAGCACTCTTCATTTTTTGTCCAAGTATGAAATATATGATGTAATAATATGTATGTTTGAACGAAGAGTACCTTTTTATAGTGAAATATTGGATATGTAGGGATTATTCGAATCATGACAAAATTAATGAAGATAGAAGAGAGTTTAAATTTATTATTATTATTATAACTTAAGGAAGAATTCTTGTTGGAGAAAGTTAATTAGTTAGTTACTTTCAAATCAAAAGAAAATTATTACTAATTTCCATTATCAATGTGTTTATCCATTTGTTTTATTTTCTACTTTTTTTTTTTTTGTTCTTATCCTAATTGGAGTAATAAATGCTTTTCCAAATATAAAACTATTTTATAATTTTAAGAGGGAAAAAAATTATTTTTTGTCTCAATATAACAAAAATTCATCAATTTTCGTTTCAATATAAAAAATTTATTAATTTTGGTCTCAATATAACCAAAACTTATCCTTTTTTGTCCCAATATATCCAAATTTCATCATTCTTGGTCATAATATAAAATTTTTATCAATTTTAGTCCTAATATAACCAAAACTCATCATTTTTTGTCTCAATATAATTAAACCTTATCTTTTTTTTTTATCCTACCGTCAACAAACCGACGGAAAATGCTGACGTAGACTTGCAAGATTGTGCAATTTCTTCAAATATAAATATAATGTTTGATTTCTTTTCACGTCAGCATTTTCCGTCGGTTTGTTGATGGTGGGACAAAAAAAGATACGGTTTGATTATATTGGAACAAAAAATGATGAGTTTTTGTTATATTGAGACTAAAATTGATAAAAATTTTATATTGTGAGCAAAAATGATGAGTTTTGGTCATATTGGGACAAAAAATGATGAGTTTTGGTTATATTTGGACCAAAATTGATAAGATTTTTATATTTGGACCAAAATTGATGAATTTTGGTTATATTGGGATTACAAATAATTTTTTCCCTTTTAAGAGAAATGAATTTCTTATTTTAAATTTATTGTTTCCAATTAAAAAAAAAAGTATATTTTTTTGTATTTTTTTCATTATTAATGTGTATTTAAACCCTTAACTAGTTTTTTTTTTTTTTTTCTAGTAAAAGAAAAAAAATAAAAGATTTTACAGAATTACTTCTGTAATAGTTTCAGGAAATTTGTAATTTTGTTAATGTATTCGGTGTCATTCAAACAAAATAATTTCATATTTGATCGAAGCATTCTGTACGGATGGACATCTAATTTCATATTCGGTGTTTGACTCATTCTGTCATGTTCGATCAAGACATGCCCATATTCAATTTAGCTATAGAAATACTAATATATATGGAGTCGTACGGATGGACATCTAATTTATCTGTTATGTCCATGTGCAGTGACGAAGCTAGAACCATTCCGTCGGATGGGCTGAAGTCTAAAATTTAAAAAAAAAATTATAGTATAAAAATTTTAATCTAAAATTAGAATTAGAATAGTTAAAATTAATTTTTTAAAAAACTGAATATATATTAGAAAAGATAGAAATTTACCAAACAAAAAAGAAGAGAACTTTAATATACTTATAAAAACATACTACTTCAATCACTACCAAACAAAGTATTATTCTTACAAAATGAATTACCTTTAACTAAATATGCATAACAATATTGTCATTACAAAGACAAACAAAAAAAAACCCAATCCAACCAATGATATTCCAGCTTCAGCCAAAATAAAATCCAAAACCAACTAGCAAAAAAATATATTATTTAGTCAGTTAACAAAAAATAAACTATAAAATATGTTTTAATATTATTATTTACCTTAGTGATGTCGCGATGTATTCAAAGAGTAGCCATATTTTGAAATCGCTACAAAATTCAAATACAGCAATTGCTTTTAAACAAAACAAAATATTATTTAGTTAACTAAAAAAAATAAACTATAAAATATGTTTTAATATTATTATTTACCTCAGATGTCGCGATAGTTGTATTCTTCGAGTAGCCATATTTTGAAACCGTTACAGAATTGCTTCAGTTTCAATAGTGACAGAAATGTCTTTCTCAATGTAACACACTAGGCAGTCTATAAGATATTCATCTCTCATTGTATTTCGCAAATCATTTTTGACTATTTTCATTGCTGAGAAAGATCTTTCAACTGTGGTTATCGTGACAGGTAAAACCAATGCTAACTCGATTAATCGATAAATCAAATAAAAAGTACTCTTACAATTCATTTGAATCATCTTCTTTGCAAGATCTCCAATATCACAAAAGCCAATAAAAGTTGGTTCTGATCTGTAACACCCCCAGTTGGCTCATACTGGAAATGCTATCGCCACACTGCATCATGAGGTCATCACCTCCTACTTCGGGCCCCACAATACAGTGTTAAGGCTAAATTAAACATAAAAGCGCATTATTATATATACCAAAATCTGATTTATAAATATTTACAAAACACACCCTTTAACAAGAGGTTTTTTCCGATTAAAAATTTACATATAATACAATATACGTAAGTTCACTCACTCAGCCCATCTTTCTATGTCTCGAGACGTCCCCTGTCTCGGATGTGCCATGCATACCTGAAACAAATATTTTCTTAATAGCAGTCCAGAATTAAATCCATTTTAAGAACTAACGTGAAATATGTCATTTCACACCTTTTTAAAATAAAGTCTAATTCCCGTTAATCATAAAATATGTGTCATGTCAGCCAATAGTGAAATGATGCAATACAGATATCAAACTCGACAACAATGCACACTCACATATATATATATCCGCCAAAGTGAGCAGCCGGAATAACCTCGGCTCCATAATCATGGCTCACTACATCTGTCTAAGTGAGCAGCCGGAATACCCTCGGCCCCGTAATAACAAGCTCACTAGACCATCATCAATAAATAGCCGGAAAATCCTCGGCTCAAGGAAGGACCTGATAAACCCATAATAATATAACAGTCATCCGGTCACTTCCATATACCCACCATACCACCCCCACAATCAATACATGGATAGCCGAACGTTGTCGCCATTAACCACAAGACGCCCCATAGTCTGTGATACCAAAGATAGGACCCCCACTGACTAGCCCTATCCCGTGTAATGTAGTAGAATCCGTGCAACCTGGAATCACCCAAGGGAAACCCGGAAACTCTACTCCTCCTCGCGCGCCCTAACGGGATCACGTTTGGAGTTTGACATATGATCCTAAACTACCGGTAGACCTCACTAGTGATCAGTCCAATGAGTGGAACAACACCGAACACGAATGATTAGACCAAATACGTCTCAACTACAATGGGTCTAATCCCTGAATGACTGTGCGACTAAGTCACCCAGTTGTCCGACTACTATCGTCCACTATCGCCAAAGTGTTACGGTACATCGGGATCGAATATCCTAACCCCAGATGATGCCCTCGCCTAGCACTACCTCACACGGTGACTAAACGATAGATCCATAAAACACATCCGATAAACCGTGCAATATGTGTGCAACATGCCAAATAAGTGAATTTACTGAAAATGGCTGGTGAGACAGCTCACCTATCCTCCTTTTCATAAATTCACCAACGCGATCAAATATGTATATCAAATATCATAACCGTGAAGTCTCCCACATGCATACGCACACACATATATATAAATATATAGATGCAACAAAATGATTCACATAATATCACATTAACATATTAATCAAAATCGCATGCAACATGCATACCTAATTTCTTAAAATTAGATTTAATTCCCTACTGCTTACCTCTTATCGACACTCCCTAGCTCCCGCAATTTCACCCAAATATCTTCCAACGTACACCTGCCCCATTATTTACTAAAATCAGCTGAGCTATATACTTATACATAGGAGCTACCTGCTTATTCAAAAGCTAATTTCTATAGTTAGCTCGTTGGATTTCAAACTTTTATATTTAGTAGACTACGATATTCTAGCTATAAAACTCTTATACCTCATAATATTTATATCACCCGATTATTAAATAAAAATACTTAAAGATATGAATAAACAGACAGGTGCAATACACTGCCGTTTTTAATTCGGCTCGGATCGATACGAAATTCTCAGAATATAATACTAAGACTACGGCTATTAGCTAAAGAAATTCGTCGATTAAATAGCCAAATAGCCGGTTATGAATTTTTGAAGAATTTCTAATTTAATATTCCCAATATCAAAATTCATATTAAAATTCATAATTAAATTCTACATATAACAAGGAATACAATACCAAAGTCGGAATCGAAATCAAACGGCTAAATTTTTTTCTTTCTTCTTTTCTTCCTTCTCCTTTCTTTTCTTTCTCTCTGGCGTTACTTGCTTCTACGTTGCTTTGGTTGCAATGTAAGGGTTTATATATATAATTATATTATTATTATTATTATATTATATTATTATTATTATATTATTACTATTAACGTTATTATTATTATTATTATTATAAATATTATCCTTATCATCATCACCACTAATATTATTATTATATATATTATATTTTATGATTATCTTTATCGATATTTATCCGTTTAACAGTCTTTTCAATCATAATCAATATATAAAATATGAATAAAATTTATTCCAGAATATTAATTTTTTGATCCCAAAATATTATAAAAAGATTTATTTGCTATAATAATATTATTTTATACACTTTAAAATCGGGGTATTACATGATCTCACATAACAAAAGAATGTTTGAAGTTGTGGTTTTAAATCTGATAGATCATGCATAGAAAAATCCTTTGTATATAATTCAGCAAGATGAATAATCTGTTCTTGATCAAACGTGGCAAACAAATTGCTAGGATTAAGACATGATATTCTCATCAAAAGCTCTGGATTTGATTAAGTAAACCGATGATTTATTTCTTGAGAAATAATATTGATTGTCTAACATTGTAAAAAGAAAATTTAATATCTCATAATGTAAACTAATACTCTAATAATTTTCACAAAGAATTAAGAAGAATAAAATACCTGTATGAAAATATCCACTTGAAAATAATGAAAATGTGTTTTTCTTTAGGCATCAACAAGTATTCTCAATCGTTCGGGGATGATATCATTCATATTGGGGATACTAATTCCATGATCCAAACAAAACTTAGTTACTTCAAAAAAAATAAAAATAAAAAATCATTCCAACCATTTGTTCTAAAGTCTTGCAATTCATCTTTCAAAATTGCAATCAATTGCACTGCAAGACCTATATTATGACTCTTTTGTTGAAAAGCTTGTGACAATGCATTTGTTTTACCTAATAAATGTTTCATCAATTAACCTACAAATACAAATTCAAAACTTTCCATCTTGTCAAACAAACAATCCTACAGCAAGTCCTCGACTTTTCACATCACTTCCACTTGTAGCTATAATTTCAATAATTCCTTTAACTGAATACCACAAATTAAAAAGTCGAGTGATTGTCTTGAAATGAGAACCCCAACGAATATCACCGACTCGAGCCAAATTCATTTCTTGATTCATTCCCTTTCCTATAGCAATATCACTCAATTCTACATATCTTGCAAGATCATCAAATTGGCGATGCCTCAATTCATCTCTCCTTTTACACAAAATTCCAACAATATTTACAATCATAGAGAGATATTCAAAGAAATTGCTTACGAGTCCATTTTGACTGACACTAGAAACAATAACTAATTGAAGTTGATGCGCCAAACAATGAACATAATATGCATGTTCATTTTCTTTCAAAATGAAAGCTTTAAGCCCGTTAAACTCTCCACGCATATTAGAAGCCACATCATAACCTTGACCTCTAACCATTGATAGTGATAATTCATTTCTTGCAAGAAATTCATCAATGGCGTTCTTCAAAGATTGTGCAGAAGTGTCAGTAACATGCACAACACCAAAAAATAGCTCTTTAACCTCTCCAAGATTATTTACAAATCTTACATTTAAAGATATTTGTTCCTTGGTAAAACTATCTCGAGCCTAAAAAAACCATCTATCTTCAATCTCTGCCAAAATAAAATTTCTTACTTCTGAACCACAAGCATTAATAATTTGTTTTTGAATATGGAGACGTTAACTATCTATTTCCCAGAGCATTTAAACTAATTACATTTCTAACATTATCATTGTTATCACCATACCACTTATAAAGCTTAAGAAAATTCTCGCGGCATATGGATTGTGATGACTCATCATAGCCACGGAAAGCTAAGCCTTGTCCTAAAATATATCGAATCACTTTTACAACTGCGGTCAATCGAGTCTAATAAGTCTCCTCTATTTCAGAACTTTTTTGCATCATAACATAATCCACATTGCATCTCTGATCTATATCCAATTCCGATACTCCACTGCGATGCAAATTCTCAACTTTCTTTATACATGCAAGAAATTTTCTGACCTCTTTCTATAATTTGCCCATTCAAGTCTGCACTGATCGAAAATTACGCTCAGTAAATGCAGTATCCCCATGGTTATGCCCATTAGAAAACAAATAGCACCATAAACAATATGCGGCATCTTTAGATATACTGTAATTTAACCAATCATATGTCTTGAACCAATGATCTTGAAATGATCTTCGAATCTCGCCAAATTTTGTAACGGGAAAATTATGAACGCGAGGTTGACAAGGGCCCTTAACCAAATATCTTCTTCATCTTTAACTCCAACGGGTTAACTCTCAATCGATCTACGCAATCCAGGATCCGTAATAATATCATCATCTGAAATCTCAACTTCTCGTGCCTTTTTGTTTTTTACATTATAATTTTTACTCATATCTTTTGGACAAAATGTTTCAATATTTGAATTGAAACCTTTAGAAGCTTAACAAAAAAAAAAAATATATCTTCATTGTACTTTTTTGCCTAAATAATAATAAAAACAAATTGATTAAAACAATTTTATTAACTTTACAAACTAACTTCAATTGAATTAAAAGAATATACTATCACAACCAAATTAAATTAAGGTATATCTAAATAAAATATTATCACAATATTTTCAAAAAAAAAAAAAAAAAGAAAAAAACAGAGGCAGGCAAGCATAGAAAAAATAAATACGTAATTAAATTACTATAAAATACATTTCTAAATTCTAAAATAAAAACAAAAATCATGAATAACAGAACAAGATAAATATAATAGCAATTACAAATTTACAATTAAAAAAAACTTTGAATATAATACATACCCAATCGCGGTCGATTCGACACCAAATCCATTCTATTTTAAAAAATTACATGACGTTCCCTTATACTTTAAAAAAAAATTGCATGAGGGTTTCATGCAACGTTTTTTAAAGCATAAGGGGTGTCATTCAATTTTTTAAGTATATAGAGATTTCACGCTAAATTTCAAAACCACATGGAAATTATGAGCAATTATTTAATATCAAGTCAAGGGGCTTGAAAGCTTACCTTAAACTTAGAGAAAGGTCGGGATCTACTCCACGAGGAGCGGTACGGACATAGATGATATCATCACGACCTCTCTTTTTGTACCGCTAGGAATGCTTGCCGCCACTTCGCCAACTGGACTTACCTGCGCCTTCGTGTCTCTCAGTGTGGTCAGCACTGGGTGTTTCCGAGCAACGAAGCTTACACCAGACGAGAGGAATTTTATCTAAAAAAATTATAAATTGTGAATTTTAAAATGTGACTAAAGTGTATAATTATATATATATTTTTTTAAAAAAATATAATTTATATAAGACGAACGAATATGAAAAAAGTAGACAAATTACGTGCAACGAAATGAATATAAAATAAACAAAAGTATATATTTTGAAAAAAATAAGTATAACTAAAAAGTATTTTGACAGGAAGTATTTTGAGATCATCTACTATACAATACTATTTTTGCTATTTTTGCTGACCAATCAAACATGCTTTAACCATACCCAGTTGAAAATAGTTCATCCTCCGAGGTGATTTATTATATATATTTATAAAAATTATAAGATTATTTACTTTTTTATAAATTATAATTCTATTTTATTTATTTATTTTTCTAAAATTTATTTACATTTTATAAAATGATTTTTATATTTATATTTAAATTTATTATAAATTATATATTTATTGATATATTTTATTGATTTTTATAGTTAATATAAAATATTACTGTAAATTAAAATTAATATTTATAAAATATCTTTTTTTTAAAGAAAAAATAGAAGATACGGTTGAAAATAAATTTTTTAACAAATTCTGCAAAATAAAATAGAAAGAAATATATTGAAGATGGTAAAAATATATATAAATTAAAAATTTTATTATGCATTAATTTTTTTTATATTTTATTAAAAATTAATATTATATTAAAGATATCATATAAATTATTTTTAAATTAATATTACATCATCAATTAAAAATTACACCATTCTTACTTTTTTTTCCTATAAATTTATTCAGATCACTATATTTTTACGTCATAAAAATAATTAAAAATAAAAAAAAAAGCAAAAAAAAAAAAAAATTACATCATTATTTTTAACATCATATTCGAAGTTATTATGAGTAAAAGAGATTTAAAGTGGAATCCCTTTCTTTTCCGCGTAGAATGTACTTTTGACAGTGATTTTCTCCTCGTTTCTGCGCACATGGCGGCCGCCATTTTCGCCCCCCGCTCGTGCACTTCCCAGTCTCACTCCCGCAAATTCTATGTCCGTTGCTTCAGTCTCCCTAAATTCTCTCGTTTACACCTCGATCGCACAGCTCGGCCGAGTCTATTGATAACAAGATTGCGAATTAATCCCCAGAAAACAGAGAAACTCCGATTGCGGGTCGTGAAAGCCGAAGCCGAAGGGGAAAAGGCTTCGCGTGTCGAGGAGAACGAGTTCGCAAAGAATGAAATTACCAGTCTGGTGGGTGAAGATTCTGCAAAGTTTGACCCGTCCCAGCAGAAGGTTTCTTCGTGGTTGTATTTTTCGGGGGTTCTGGGGCTCGTTCTTTATGTTCTTAATGTGACTTGGATAGATAACTCCACTGGGTTTGGCAAATCTTACATCGATGCCGTTTCCAGAATATCCGATAGTCCAGAGGTTTGAATATGAGCAACCACTCAGATGGTATCTTTATTTTTCATTAGAATCCACTGTTTTTTTTTTTTTTTTTTTTTTTTTTAATTTCTATTGAGTTTTTTCTTCATTGGAAAAGCTTGTACCATATTCGTTTCTTGGAATGTGCACTAGAGTTAAAAGATAAGTGTGATTCTTGGTGAAGGAGAGCAAATGCTGAGTCCTTTTTAACTTTTACTTTTACTTGGAAGGTTGATCACAATGAGAGGTTCATAGGATAATTAAATCAGTCACACCACAAATAACGAATAGTGATGGTTGAATTACCATGTTCTTGATACATATTTAGTCATTTTAGGAAATATCACAACCATCACACTTTCTAAAACTTGTAGAAGATGTTTCACTTGTTATTTATTATTTTTATCAACTCCATCTTCTCTTTCTTATATATTTCACTTAATTTTAGAACTGGGCTTAGTCTTGAGCTTGGAATGGGACCTATTTGAAGTTTCATCTTAGTGATTTGATATTTGTAAATGTATATATATGTACATGTTGGCATTTGTTGATTATTTATTACGTACTTAAGGCTGCAGATGGTTGTTGAATTCAATCAACTCGGTTAAACAAATATGGAGTGAAAACCAAAGATATGTGGTATTGGCAATCAATGTCAGTGTCTGTTCCTACTTTTGTGTGTGCAATAGCTCACTGCTGTTCTTGACATGATTTCTTTGCAGGTTGTAATGTTAGTTCTTACTCTCATTTTTGCTGTAGTCCATAGTGGTTTGGCTAGCCTCAGGGACACAGGTGAGAAACTCATTGGAGAAAGAGCATACCGTGTGTTATTTGCCGGCCTGTCTCTACCATTAGCTCTTAGTACTATCGTGAGTTCCTTACATTGCATTTTAGATGTGCATTCCTTTCTTTTTTCTTTTTCGTTCAATTTATCTCAGCCTTATGTTTGGAAATGTTCAACTGTTGATTAGTTTGGAAATTTCAAAATTTCAATCACGGGTTATGTTCTCATGGCAGGTTTATTTCATCAACCACAGATATGATGGTTTGCAGCTATGGCAGCTTCAGGATTTTCCCGGATTGCATGATCTTATTTGGTTCTCTAACTTTGTTTCCTTCCTTTTGCTTTATCCTTCAACCTTCAATTTGTTAGAGGTTGCGGCCGTTGACAAACCCAAAATGCATCTCTGGGAAACTGGAGTAATGAGAATCACTCGGCATCCACAGGTGCAAAGACCCTTCAGAACTATCCATTTGTTTTGGTTTTAGTTCTTGCTTTGCCTGTTGAGGATGGGCTGAATTCATTGCTGCCTATTATACATTTGCAACTTTTCTCTAACTCGTATTGCATTTAATGATTTGAGAGGGTCCAGGCATACTTCCTACAGGTTTTAAGTACTTTTTGTTAGTATCTGGTGACCTAATATTGTATGGAACAAAAGAAAAAATATAGTTATACTGGAGGGCTGTTTGTGCGGGTTTAGAAATATTAGAAGGTAGCCAAACTGGTGAGAGATTAAATTAATGAAGAATGAAAATCATTTATCCTTTATCTCATTGTTGTAAATACTGTTAGTAAGCAAGCTGATTATCCTAAACTCGCTCAGACATATATTATCCTAAGCTCACATAGGGGCACTTAGTTACTTTAGATTTGGAAGGAATCTGACTGGGATGCACTTGTTGTATGATACAATATGCTAAAGGTTCCTCCAGGTTAAGGATCACTATATATGAATCGGGGTCACAATGCTGATTGGGTCCACCATCTGAAAAATGATCTAGTTCGGGATATTGCATTTATATGGGTGGAAATCCCATACCATCATGGAGAAGTAAGAAACAGACTGTTGTACCTCAATCATATGTTGTAGTAGAATATTGAGCTATGGCTATAGCTACCTGGGACTTATGTGTACAAATCAACTGCTCGGCAATTTAGGTTTCCCAAGCGACTTTATTTTGTTAGTCAAGCCACTCTGACTCTACATATTTCTTATAATTCAGTGTTTCGTTAAAGAACAAGGCATGTCACAATTGAATTTCATTTTATCCAGGAGAAACTGTTGCCTGGTTGCGTTACATATGAAGCATCTCTAGTGGTACTCGTAGTAAATATCTCTAGCTTGAATCAAATGAATTTTATACACCAACTCGAAGGAGAGTGTAGAAAGGATAATGTAGGTTCATTGGTAAAATGTAGTTAGAAATTTAGAATACATGATACAAGCGCATTGTTTGGTTCCTTTCTGTTTTTATGCATACTGTTGGTTTGATTTAGAAGAATATAAGTATATTTTTAAAAAATAAAATAAAATAATATCCTTCAATTTTTACTGTCAATAATACTTGTATAATTGTTCCCGTGATATTTTTCTTCATGAGCATCATATTTGTTAACTGCCACCTCTTTTATTACATTAATTCAGTTTTGTTTTCTCAGATGGTTGGACAAGTTGTATGGTGCCTTTCACACACTCTTTGGATTGGAAACTCGGTTGTGGTAGCAGCATCCATAGGATTGATTGGACACCATCTGTTTGGTGCTTGGAATGGAGATAGAAGGCTGGCCATGCGGTATGGTGAAGCTTTTGAAGCTGTAAAGAGCAGAACCAGCATTATCCCCTTCGCTGCAATTCTTGATGGTCGTCAAAAGTTACCTGAGAAATACTGGAAGGAATTTATCCGATTGCCATATATGTCAATTACTGTGCTGACCTTAGGTATTTACTTCGCACATCCATTAATCCGGGCTGCAAGCTCGCAACTTCATTGGTAGTTTAATGCTTGTTATCACTTAACAGGTATTCGAAAATAAACTAATTGAGCTCTTTATGGCCCTTTTGGCTTGAATTGTTATTAGTAAATCGATTTGGCTTACATATGGTTTAGAAGATCGTGTTTATGCTTTGTCTTGGCCTTGCCTTCAAGAGTCCATTATTGCTGTCTGGCTTAGTTCCTTTTTGTTAGATATATTATGTATAGGGGTATTTTTGTATTTATAATAGTATAAGGGCAGTTTAGATATTTTGTATAGTTTTAATATATTAGGGTTTTGTATATTGTAAAATTATTCTTTTCTTTTGACATAAATAATAAAAAAACAACGATATTCTTCATGGTATCAGAGCCATTGTGATCCCCTCATCCACCCTACTCCGCCGCGCCGCCCGTAGCGCTGTCCTCTCTTCTTTCCTTCGGTCTGGCTGTCTGTTAAGGCATTTTTCCTCGTAGGTTGGATTGTTATTAAGTTGTGGCTTAGATTTCTCTTCGATTGAAATATTGCCCAACCATGTCTGCTTCTACTTCTTTTACGGGTGTTATTTCTCCAACCTTGGCTGTTGCTACAAAATGATTGGTTAGGGGTTTTAACTATGGCTCTTGGTCTAAAGCTGTCTAAATGTGGTATATAGGTCAAGATTTGGCAAATTACCTTGTTATTTCGTCCGTTCAGATTACTGACACTAAGAAAGCTGCATGGCTTAAGGCTGATGCTTTATTATGCAGTTTTCTTTGACAATCTATTGATCCAAGCCTTATCCAATTTTACAAACTGTTATGATCTCTGGAGACATGCGAAGACTTTATATACCAATAATATTCAATGCATCTACAGTGTGATATCTAATTTGGTCAATCTTCGTCAATCCGGATTGACAATTCCAGAGTATCTCGGTAAACTTTCATCCATCAAAGCTGAACTCAATTCAGTTTAACTCTAGGGAAAACGGCTGCGGAGGAGCTTGCTCAATGTGATACATTTTATATGGTGTGTGCACTAGTTAGTTTTGGTCCAGATTTAAGTCCAGTTTGTGATCAACTTCTTTCCAGCTCAACAGTTCCAACTCTTGATAATGTTTATTCTCACATATTACGTGTCTCTTCTGTGGCACATCCGATTATTGATTCTGGAGACAAGTCTGCTCTAGTAGCTTCACCTTCTTCACATATGCGAGGTGATCCTAATCCTCATGGGAGCTCTCGTGGGACCTCTCATCCACGCTGCACTTTTTGCAACAGGTGGGGCCATACTCGTGATAAATGTTTTAAATTGCATGGCCGGCCACCTTGGGCTGTTGTTGCGCAGGTTGAAACTCCTTAGTTATCGGGTATTCTATCACTTTGACTGGTTCAGACTATGAGTATCTTACATACCAAGCTTCAAAGCAGTCATCTCATTCACCCGTTGCCTATGTCGCTCACACCGGTACCTCTCTTGGACCATGGGTCCTTGATTCTGGTGCTTCTCATCACCTATCTGGTAATCCAAAATTGTTTTCCGAATTTCATAAGTCTACCTCATTACCTAATGTTACTTTAGCTGATGGGTCACGAGTTTCTGTTAAGGCTGTCGGTGATGCTCAACCATTGCCATGTGTTTCCTTATCCTCCGTTCTTTTTGTTCCTCATTGTCCATTTAATCTTGTTTTTGTTAGTCAATTAACCAAAACTTTGAATTGCTTAATAACATTTAACTCTGATTCATTATCTATTTAAGACCGCAGAACGGGGAGGACGATTGGCAAAGGACTTGAGCTCCATGGACTGTACCACCTTGACCACCTTCCACCACTTTCACCCACAATTGCATGTTCCACTGCCAGTTCTCCTCAACTTTTACACCAACGGCTGGGTCATCCGAGTCTCTCTAAGTTGCGTCGGCTTGTTCCAAGTTTTTCTAGTTTATCTTCATTGTCCTATGAGTCGTGTCAGCTAGGAAAACAAACTCACGTTTCGTTTCCTCGGCAGGTTAATAATAGGGTTGATATGCCTTTTGCTTTAGTCCACTATGATGTATGGGGTCCGTGTCAAACTACTTATGTATTTGGGTTTCAGTACTTTGTTAGCTTTGTTGATGATTTCTCCAGATGTACTTGGCTTTATTTGATGAAAGCTCGTTCCGAACTATTTTCTGTCTTTGAAACATTTTATGATGAAATTCAAAATCAGTTTGGTGTCTCCCTTAAAATACTTCGGACGGATAATGCTACTGAATACTTATCTACTTCTATGACTCATTTTATGTCATCTCATGGTATTTTACATCAGTCCTTTTGTGCCTATACTTCTCAGCAAAATGGGTTTGCTAAACGCAAAAATCGCCACCTGATTGAGACTGCTCGTACTTTGCTTGTGCATCATCATGTTCCTTTCTGGTTTTGGGCTGATGTTGTTCTTATTGTCTGCTATCTTATCAACCGCATGCCGTCCTCGGTTTCCAAAATAAAATTCCCCACCAGATATTGTGCCATCACGATCCTTTATATCATTTACCCCTTCGTGTCTTTGGGTGTACTGCATTTGTGCATGATCACTCCTTGGGTCGGGATAAGTTAGCTTCACGTGCGTTGAAGTGTGTTTTCCTTGGCTATTTTAGGGTTCAAAAGGGTTGTAAGTATTTCTCTCCTGATACTCGTAGGTATTACATTTCAGCTGATGTTACCTTTCTTGAGTCCACACCTTATTTCTCTCCGTCATCTTTGATCCCGTATGTCAGCCACGTGTTACCTATTCCTTTCTCTTCTCCTCTTCTTTCGCGTCCACCTCTTCAGGTTTATAATCGTCGTCCTCGCCCGCAAGTGCCCCCTTCCGATGGTTCTACCACTCATGTTCCTCCAGCGTCTATCGAGTGTCCTGGCTCTCAAGACTTGCCACTGTCTTATTCTCCTGCGGTTCCTATCCTGCCGGATCCTGCACCGTTACGATGAGGTACTCGTTCTTCTCGTAATACTCATCCCATTTACAATTTTCTTAGTTTTCATCATTTGTCTCCCACATACTATACTTTTGTGTCAAACTTATCTTCCATCTCCCTTCCTAAATCCCTTTCGTGAAGCTCTTTCTCGCCCAGGTTGGCGACAAACAATGGTAGATGAAATGGTTGCTTTGCATGCTAATGGTACTTGGGACTTGGTACCTTTGCCTTTAGGTAAGTCTCCCGTGGCTTGTCGTTCGGTTTATGCAGTTAAGGTTGATTCAGATGGTCAAGTTGCTTGTCTCAAGGCCCGTTTGGTGGCTAAGGGCTTCACACAGGTCTTTGGTGAGGATTATACTGAAACCTTCTCACCGTATCACCGGAAATGATCAAGAAGAGGCCATTCAGTTAAAGCAACATCTATTTAAGCATTTTCAAACTAAGGATATGGGACCATTGAAGTACTTTCTTGGTATTGAGATTGCGCAATCACGTGATGGTATTGTTCTTTTACAACGGAAGTACGCATTGGATATTCTTGAAGAAACTGGTTTGTCTGACTGCAAGCTAGTAGACTCTCCCATGGATTCAAATTTGAAGCTTCTTCCGGGACAGGGGGAGCCATTAGCTGACACAAAAAGATATCTTAGAATGGTTGGTAAGCTTAACTATCGCACACTTACTCGACCTGATGTCTCTTTTTTGTTGTAAGTGTTATGAGTCAATTTCTCCAGTCTCCATGCGATAGTCACTTAGATGCTGCCATTCGAATCTTGAAGTACATCAAAGGGTCTCTTGGTAGAGGATTATTGTACACCAATCAAGGTCACACTGAAGTAATTGGCTACTCAGATGCTGATTGGGCAGGATCCCCAGTTGATAGACGGTCTACTTCGGGATATTGCACATTTGTGGGAGGTAACCTTATCTCATGGAAAAGTAAGAAACAAAATGTTTGCTCGCTCAAGTGCAGAGACAGAATATTGAGCCACGACATTAGCGACATGTGAACTTATTTGGGTAAAACAACTTATTCATGAGCTCAAGATAGTGGAGGTTTCAAAAATGAAACTATTTTGTGACAATCAAGCTGCCTTGCATATTGCGTCTAATCCGGTGTTTCATGAGATGACTAAACATATAGAGATTGATTGTCATTTTATTTGGGAGAAGGTATTATCTGGATGCATCGCCACTCACCATGTTGCTTCGAATGAGCAACTTGCAGACATTCTTACCAAATCTCTTAGAGGCCTTCGAATTAAATTTTTATGTGACAAACTTGGATCATACGATTTGTATTGTCCAGTTTGAGGGGGAGTGTTGGATATATTATGTATAGGGGTATTTTTGTATTTATAATAGTGTGAGGACAATTTAGGTATTTTGTATAATTTTAATATATTAGGGTTTTGTATATTGTAAAATCATTCTTTTCTTTTGACGTAAATAATAAAAAAAAACAACGATATTCTTCACTTTTAATCAATCGTTTTTAGCTATGAGTACCTAGTTGTACAAATATGAAAACATTTGTGCTAAACAACGGCGTTAGCATGTAGGAACACTACAAAAAAATATACATTAGCGAAGAATTTTTGTAAGGAATTTTATATTCCTCGCAAATACCGATGAATTTTTTTTTACGAAGATATTAATTCGTAATAAACAAACATAATTTGCAAGGAATATAAAAATCCTTGCTATTAGCGAAGAATTTTGCGAAAGATTTATATTCCCTCACAAAATTACAAATTAGTATTTTTATTAACAACTAATATTTTTTAAATTATTTTTAAAAAGGATCGAAAGTAAAAAAAAAATTAATTTTCTTAATAAATTTTAGATTTTATTAAATCAATAACAAAATAATTATTATGAAAATTTATAAAATATAATATAATTTTTTATTAAAAAATACAAATATTTTTTAAATAAATAATAAACATATTTTTATATAACAAATGAAATACTTATTTTATTATAGTAGTATTATTATTATTTTAATATAAAAAAGAAATAATAATATAAAATAATTTTTATTACAAAAATATTATAAAAATTATTGATACCAAAAACAGCTTCTAACTTAGCCGCCGTCCCACATCATTTTCGTCTTTCTTCTTCTTCTTCGTCTTCGTCTTCTTTTTCTTCTCCTCTTTGTTTTTGTCATTGTTTTCATTTT